TATAGATGCAAACAATTTCAGATTTTCACTAATTTATCAAAGGTAATGGCCATATTATCACTAACACATGCATTTCTACCTTCACTCCATTCAATGGCAAACTGATAGCAGATGAACTCCATCTTACTGATGTTTTATCACCATTTTAATGCACTAAAGTCGCTTAGAAGGCATAAAATGACTGCAAGTAGTCGCAGACTTGGTCCCCAAATTCAGAGCAACCATTTCAAAGGGTCAAAGGTTCATTGCACACGGTTACACGAACTTTTATTCATGCTGTAATTTCCAACTACTGTTTTTATAGTATGACTATAACATACTTTACCAGTACGGTACTGTACCATGAAGGGGTGTGTGTGTGTTACTCACATCTAAGTTATTTGCTAGCAGATAAAATTGACCAAAGTTTCATGATGTTCAGAAAAAACAGACATTTTTAAGACCATGCCTTCAAAATTCAAACATCTATATGGATAAACTGAAGTGCAGGTTAGAAAAAATACATACATTTGATTTCTGGAAGATTTGTCCCCTGTGAAAAGCACCTTCTTATATCACAGACATGGCAACATTATCATCCACTGCAGTCACGTTTCACTTTGCGTCACAAATGCAGCTCCTTTGACTTTGGTTATCTGCCTCTTCAGAAGCTGCATGTTGTTAGATTGTGTACAGCGATCTTATCACAGCTCATTTGCTTGAAACAGCAGTCTACTGATACAAACTCAGTTGATGTGAGAACAGAAAAAGGAGAAAAACTAAGCAATGAAAGAAGCTAAAAATCCCCAAGAATGAATCCTGGATAACTGAAACAATCCACCCATATCACATGACGTCTGCAGCTAAGCCTCATGAAACGTCAGTCCCTTTAAACTCTCATGTACACGCATCCAACTGCATACCAGCCATTCAAAAGTCTGAACTCCGAGACAAAGAAATGTGTCTGACAGCAGCAGCCAGCAACAAACCAATCCCCCCCCTCTCCAAAAACACACTTGGCTCTGAGATACCATTACTACTTACAGAAGTGCATTCAGAGAAAGCCATTTTCCCGGGAGCCCTCTCACCCTGTAACCTCAGTGGGCGTAGAAGGGGACTCCAAATAAGAGGGTGCTTTCATACTCGATCGTAATGCCCCCTTTATTCAGCGACCGGCTCCCCTGATAGCCCGCTGATAGTCCATTTGAGCAGTTGAGATGAAGGCAGGCCAATTCACCACCAGATCTTGACTGAATGATTGAATGGCGCCCTTTTTACTGCCACTGGTTGCAGAGTGCACCTTATTAGCATAATTTGCATTTGCATACGGCCAGGCTGTGGAGGTACAAAGCCGAGCGGTGTCGGGAAGCTGCCCTCTGCCTCCTGGCTTTCTTTGGCCCCGCTATCGCTTCCTCTTCTTGCTCAGCTTTTGGCTGCTTCTGGGATGTCAAATGCAGCTTTGTCTGGATGCTCCTCTGTCTTGTTCTTGTCTGTTCTCTTTGATTTTTAAGAAGTTCCAATATGTTTCCACTGGCATTT